CATTAATTGTACTGCCATTAGATGAGGTAGCTTGTCTACATCCTGAAGTATGTATAGAAAGAAATGCAATTTCTTATCTTTTCACTCTTATAGTGTGACTGGGGAAAGAGAACACAGTCATGGGGGATCTGCTTTAGGACAACTGTGTAAGTGCATTGTCTGAAAGCATCACAGTATTGATGATATGAGAGAGGCCTTTTCACAAATTACACCCATCAAGATGAGCACTTTCTCTTGAAGTTCATAACTTCAACTAAAGGCTCCTTCTCAAAATAGTGCCCTGAATATACACAGCTGGACTTTTTAAAATACTTTGATGATCTGTTCTAGGAATTACCATTCTTCCTCTTAATTTTCTATATACCCTTAAGTCTTAGAATGTGAAAAAAGAGACAAAGACAGAGAGGGAGAGTACACACAGAAAAGATGGAGTATTACTGTTAGATCTATGGTTCTTGTTGAATACACAGTAGAATTTTTTAAAGAAGGGGCAACTTGTAAAAGTAAAATTTAAACAACCTACTATCTAAAAATAAAATAAGGAAAGTGAAGATTCTGATAGTTTTAATAATTATAAATTCTTACTGAATAACTTCACCATCACTAAAATGTATACTGCATTATAATAATTCCTATGAAACTATGTCACATCGGGGGTCCAATCAGACACCACTGGATGCTAATTAAATACCTCATCTTATTGAAAGAGAAACATCACACTGGGCATCAAATGCCTAATTTAAAATCAGAGGAGAGGCACCTCTGAAAGGGCATAGATCTCATTCTTTTGTTTGTTTTTTTCTATACCATATAAAAGGCATATAATATTTTGTTATGACAAGATGTTCCTAAAACTGCTAGAGGAAAAGTTAAAAAGTATGCTTCATTGTAGCACAAGGGCATCGGTAAGTCTGGCCCACAGCACTCAGCTGAGGATGAGGGAGAGGTTCATAACGCCCTACTTGCTACAGTTGAACTACTGGCAGGTGACAGATTCTGGGAGATGGAGATTCGTTATTCTCAGTTGTGTAGTCACTGGTGATCCTCCAGGCTCAAATGGACAGTTCCAAATCCATGGTTCCCCAGCCTTCCCTAGATACCCATGAGGAACACAAAACAAGGGGTCATGAACATGGGAATGAGACTTCCAGGAGGGTAGCAGGCAGAACGGCAACGAAAGAGGGTGGGGAGAATAACCAGAACGCACTATATACATGTATGATATTTTCAAAAACTTTTATAATAAAAAGTTACTTTATAATCCCAATTCTCAGAAGTAATTTCAAAATGTGTTTTCTTTGCATGTCTTCATTGTACAAGGACAAGTACATGCACAGATCACTTTAAAAAATTAAAAATATTGTGGGAGTACATATAATCGTTTTATAAAATGTCCTTAAGTTATTTACCAGATGGATTTTCTGTGATTGTACTTCTGATTAACAAAAATGAAATATTCTAATTTTTAAGAAACAAAATCCTAGAATTTATAAATATAATTATGTTTAAAATTAAGTTGCAGAGATAAAATCTCTAAATCTTAGATACAAAAGATATTCTGTCAAACACATTAAAATACATCATTTAGCACATTTCACTTGATTACTAAGTATATAAATACTACTATTCTTATTCCAACAAGCCCAAAACTGCCTTCCATAAAAACTGTGAATGAAACTTTTACATGGTAATTTCAAAATATACCAAAACATATATTTTTTATACTTTACTTATGAATATGATGTGATTATTCTTTTTAAATACATTTTAAGCAAGGGGCATGTGTCTGTGTGTGAGAGAGAGAAGAACGAGAGAGGAAAGAGAGAACATAATATTTTACTTTCTCACTCATTACATCATAAATCTTACTTTTCCAACCGTCACTCTGCTGTCCCAGCACAAAGAGAAGGAGGTTGGAATAAAGACATGAAGGCAATGAGAAAAAAGAAAAAAAAAGGCAGGAGGAGAGGGGAGTTAAGGCAGCCGGGATCAGTGGGATGATCAGAGGATACAAGACAGAATGGATATCACCTCATCTCACAGCGATTGCAGTCCACAACCCACAACATGTCTTACTGCAGACGCTGCACTGATGCCCGAGCAGAGTCCCACAATGCGGGGATCCACATCTACATCAGGACCATTTCCACAGCACCATACATTTTTGCTGTGCTTGATGTCCAGAGCTGCAGTCCAGGCCCAGCTCCCCCTTTTGTGTACACTTTGCCCTACACAGGCAAATCTACATCCATAACTCCTAAGAGTTCGTTAGTATTACACCCAGTTCTAAGAGATTTTCTGTAATTATCTTATTTGATTCACGCAAGAATCCTGCAGGGTACCATTTCACAAACGAAATCACCTTCCGCAGGTGAAGTGACTTGCTCCAGGTCTAATGAACAAGGTAAGTGGTGAAACTGGGCCTGAGATCCAGGTGTTCTAGCTCCAAACCTTGTGCTTTCTCAACCCCATCACACTACTGCAATCAACAGGGTACTTAGAATCAGGACTAAAAACAATTGCTCATCAATTCATGAAATGCAGGTGCCTTTTTTAGCCCCTGGCTGTCATCGTCAAAGTGATTTGATAGCTTTTGGTTTAATAAACTCTGCCACTAAATTGTGGGAAGCACAGTAGGAAATTTCATATTTTTTCAATGTTCTGCCTCTTATTTTCCTTTTTCTACCTCTCTGGTCTGTTGATTCACTAAAGTCTCTGTTGTGGAAGGATTTATCCACTGCATTGTTTTGCTAACAAGGGCAGTAGTTAATAACCATGTACATGCTACTGAAAATACTTTAAGTATTTTAAAAACATTTCTGCTTGTATTTCTGTAATGGCCAGTTGATACCATACAACTTGTACATATAGATATTCTTGTTAGCACTATTGTGAGCTAGTGTCTCTACATGATTCTAACTTGGTTTAAGTCTTAAATTGTTTAAAAATGAGGAATTATTTCTAACTTCAAGGATTATCTAAATCTTCACTTTAAATCTCTCCATTCCCCAAACAAACATTTACTGAGTATGTATTCAGCACTACACTCTGTGTACAACAGGAACAAAATGACAGATTTGCTTGTAAACACAAAAGCTAATCTGAATAAAAAGGCAAATAAATGCTGATAAACTTCTAAATAATAAGAGCAACTATAAAGGAACATGCTGTACTGGGTGATATCTATAGAGAGAAGTGCTTTAATTTAAAAGGTCAAAGAGTTCAGAAGGGTTACTTTCTAGGAAGCTGGAATGGGCATCAGGCTGAAACAGGATTTGTTAAGCTGCCATGGTAGTAAAGGAGCAAAGGTAGAGGCAGAGTGTCATGGATTGATATGAAGAAGGAGGTATGATGGCCAACACTGATTGTCAAGAACACCTAGAATAAACCAGAAAACAAGCCACCACATATGTGAGTAGTACCCAAGTTAGGTTAGCTTCTGTATACACATATAAGGTATTTTCCTGATTGTGTAATTCCTGTGGGAAGACGCACATTATGTGGCCAGCACCTTTCATTGTGTGGCGTCCTTGACTGTCTAAAGAAGGAAGTAAGCTTGAAGTGTTCATCTGTTTATTCTTTATCAATAAACCTCAGGAGTCAGCTATTGGGGTAAGAAACCTGTTGATTAGAGAAGCAGCAGAAAAGCAACCAGTGACCTCCTCTCTCTCCTTAATCCAAAAGTTTAGAATCCCACTAAGCCCCTTCTTTCTACTTCCTAAATCTCTCTATACGCCTTGGGTTCTCCAAAACCTCTCTGGCTAATTTGTTCAGCTAATAACTAGCTCTATCCCCTGATTCAAGGTAAACTTCATTGTCAGTCTTGCAAGTATCAGAAAACAATTAAAATATCATACAATATTTACCCCATTTTTTTCTAAATAAAAAGAAACGTTTTAATTCTAACACAGTAAAACTATATACAATTTAGAAAATTATCAGATAAGAATTATATTCACAATATCCGTTTCATTTGCATTTGGCAAATTCAGAGAAAATACTCAGTTATCTATCCTATCTTAATGAGTCCAAAGTTTTATACCTAATTCACTTTCTATCCTAACTTGTATTACCAACCCAAAACTATATTTTTAACCTCAAAACATTTTCTTAGATAGACAAATTAAGCTTTTATGTCTCTCAACCTTATATACTCCATACCTTCTTCATGAGTTTTGTTTAATTTAGTAGAAAGGAAACTAAAGATATAACTATATCATCATCAACTCCATTAGAGACCTGATAAGGATATAATATTACCTGAGTAAACACAAAGTAAACAGTAAGGCTGCCTGGATAGTCACCCAAGGTTCCTCTGGAACACTGAGGCATCCATCTACAGGCTACAGGTCTAGAACATCTGACAAGTCTTTTCCCTGAAATAGAAATGATGAAGGACTATTCTACCTTTCCCTGGCAAAGTTTGGTAGTCACCTTCTTTTGTGTCCTGCTTTTCCAATTTGGACAGCATACTGTCAGAAGTTAAGGGAAGGTCAATTTCTTGCCCTAATTGCCAGCTCTGCCATATTGAAAGCAAACTCCTTAAGGAAGTTCTTCAGTGGCATCATCTTCTCTGAAGTAGATTGGTGCTGCCAGGAGTAGATGTGTCTCACTGTCATGATAGCCTTATATTATTAAAACATCTTAAATGCCATATTCTGTAGATCTTTGAAGTGTTTGAAGATCACTTGTCTATCTAAACTATATCTCTCTCTGACCTTAAAAACATACCTAACATGAATACAAGTTTGATTATTATAGATGACTAATTACTAATCTGTATTTTTAATTATACTAAATAGTTTGTAATACTAACTTTCAAAGACTAGAAATCTGAATTATATTTTAAGTGATCTGCATAGGCACAAAACCTTAAACAAGAGTAGAAACACATGTACAGTATAACAACAAAACCCTAACTTTGTACCAATATACACAAATCCATGTCAACGGAAAATACTTCAGACTAGCAGTTGCTTTTTTGTTTAAAAGTAGATTCAGTGCTCATTTTGGCAATACATATACTAAAATTGGAATAATACAGAGAAGATTAGCATGGAGCCTGTACAGGGGCCTGCATGGGACTGGATTAGGCCCTCTTCATGTGGGAGATGTGTAGATTTGTCTGTTTGAGGGGGCCTCTGGCAGTGGGACCAGGATCTATTCATGAGTTAGCTGTTTTGAAGCCTATTCCCTCTGGTGGGATGACTTGCTCAGCCTTGATGCAGGGTGGAGGGGTTTGGTCCTGCCTCATCTTAATGTGCCGGCTTTTATTGATTCCTCAAGGGAGGCGTTACCCTTTGAAAGGAGTGGATGGGGAGGTGAACTGGTGGGGAGATGAGAGGGGGTGGGAGGGAGAAATGAGGTTGGAATGCAAAATGAAAAATAAATAAATAAAAGCAGATCCAATAACCTACCATTTTATACTATCATTCCTACTTTCCTTTTAGAATGAGATCCATGAATCTAATCTCTTTTCCTTAGTTTCTTCTTTGACCATGACCAATAACAACTTTTAATCAACTTCCCTAAACAATGACAAACATCCACAATCCAATGAACTAACAAAAAAAACACCCATTCAATCTCTTGGGAATGTGGGCATTGTGTTCTTTAAATTACTTCCTGATGTCTGGGGGAAACAGCATCTTTAGGGGACCCTGAGAAAATTGAGATACTGGTCATGTTCTGGCAGAGCTAGTTGTTGTCCAGTCTTGGCATGATGAGAAAGTGCAGGGCTTCTCCGAAGTCCTCACTGGAGTGGTCTATGAGGCTGGACCATCTTAGCTGACCACTTGGAAGCTGCCTTGAGCAGTTTGTAGTCCAAAGTTGATCTTTAGGTAATCTTTGTCAGCTAAATGGGATAACCACAATCCAGATGGATTCCTTGCTGTAGGGCCCCACTATATTATTAGAGACATCAAAGGTGACTGCCAGGAATGGTCATGGGTCACTGCAGAAAATGTAAACATTTTCAATGTAATATGCAGCAGATCTTGGAGAGGTTAAATGATCACAATCTATTTAATACAGCCAGGGTACACAATCTTAAATTACCAGTTACCTGCTTCAGACTCAAGCACAAAATCATGTACAGAAACTTAAAAGCTCAAGTTTATGTAAGAAGATATTTTTAGATCTAAAAAGACATTTTGGGGATGGCAATACAAGTTATGATAGAAAATGATTTAAGTATAAAACTTTGGACTCACTTAGATAGGATAGATAATATGATACTTTCTCCAAACTTGCCAAATATATATGGACTAAACTGTGAATATAATTCTTACTTGATAATTGTTCTTACTGTATACATTTTTACTGTGTTAGAGTTAAAACCTTTCTTTGTTATTTAGACAAAAGGGGAAAATGTGTGTAAAGATGTACAGCTGTAATTGGTGTAATAAAAAGCTAGACAGTCAATAGCTAGGCAGGAGAGAAAGACAAGACTCTCAAGGAAATAGAGGAAGGGGAGATGTGATCAAGATGTGGAATGAGTCAGATACACAGAATGGGAGAGAGGGAAAAGTCACATGGTAGAATGTAGATTAATAAAAATATGGGTTAATTTAAGTTATAAAAGTTAGTAGGACAAGCCTAGGCTAAATGGTCAAGTGTTCATAATTAAAAGTCTCTATGCCATTGTTTGCAAGGTGGTGACCAACAACAAAACTTGCCACGTGACCTGAGCAAAGGCCTCATTGCTGTTTCTTTCCTGGGCATGATGTGATCAACCACCTCAAGCCCCCATTGCTGTTACCTCCCAGCATAAGAGACTGTATATAGTTTATAGAAATGACTTGAATTCTGAGCCAAGATGATCTTTTCTTCTGTATGCTGCATTTGTCAAGGTCTTTTTTTTTATCACAGAAACAGGAGAAGTACCTTAGGCAAAGCACAGTTCTAGGCACTCATGAGTCTTCTCAAAGACCCTGGTCTGAAGCTTGCTATGTAGACCCAGGCTGGTTTCAAACGCATGGTGGTACATCTGATTTTGACCTCCCAACTGGATTAAAGCATGAACCACTATGCCTGGCAAGGACACCCAATTTTTTATTACCAGTGAATGGTACACCATTCAAAAGGTTCACACATGCAGAAGGCACAGGCAGCAAGTGTGGTTAAGTCAAACCACACCAATACAGTTTCCAGAAACAGTCCATAAGTTGTTCTGCTGTGCCAGCTAAGAAACATGACTGCTGCTGATCAAAACATAAGAAGGCATGAGATTTACACTTACCATTTTTTACAATAAATGAAAGCATAGTTTAGTAACAAGATACAGTTCAAGAGCATCTTGGTGATATAAATCTTCTTATGTTTAATTGCATTATTAGGACATTTTTTTTCTTTTACAACAGTAATAATGGCAGCTTACATCTGTATTGCTTTTGGTTTAGAGAATATTAGTTCTTTAATGGGAGGGACCAGGTGTTCACCTTCCCTTCGAAGCACCCAGCATAATGTGCTGTAAGTATTCCTTTCATTTTTTAACTAATTACTATTATTCGGAGATGTCATTGTAGATGCACTACACCAAAATAAAACAGCTCTCAGAATACAGTCACGTGAGACCACAGTCTTGTGTGGGACTCCGAGTGGCTCTGCACACATAAAGCCAAGACCACAGTCTTGTGTGGGACTCCGAGTGGCTCTGCACACATAAAGCCAAGACCACAGTCTTGTGTGGGACTCGGAGTGGCTCTGCACACATAGAGCCAAGGCCACAGTCTTGTGTGGGACTCGGAGTGGCTCTGCACACATAGAGCCAAGGCCACAGTCTTGTGTGGGACTCGGAGTGGCTCTGCACACATAGAGCCAAGGCCTCTTTATAGCTGAGCTCATCTCTGTCATCAGTCTCCTCTGCCTTCCACTGAACCTTCTCACACACAGCTTCATACTGTGTGTAAAATTATGCTACTCTTTGAAGTCCAATCCCTATTCATTACAAAGTTTAAGTAAAATTTTAAAGAAAATAGCATCCTGGAAAACAAAGCTACTGGCGATTTCAGACAAAAGGTGGCTTTCTAGCTAAAGTCCGTTACTCAATTAGTAACAGAAATAGTAAGTACAAGCAATCCATTTTCTAGTTCTTTAGGTAATAAAATCAGTTACCATGCCATAGCATAACATGTAAATTTCAACAAATAGAGCTTTAAAAAAATTTTCAAGTCTATTTACTCACCAATTCCCAATTAGGAAATGGACTTCACATAGAGACATGATGAGAAAGTATTCTTCATGGCTAAGTGCTTCTCTCTTTGGTTAAATTTCCTTTTCTAGCTAACGAGGACAGAAGGCAGCTATGATTTCCAATTTTCTCTGCCCTACAACCAAGACAAAAAGTTGTCCCTATCCGGACAACAGCCATGAGAACTCTGCCCTCACTCAGATCTCAGAGGGTGCTGGGAAAACATATCCTTCCTCCATGATAATCTCGATTTGTATCATCTGACTTTTCTAATGTCAGAGTTTAAATCCAGGACCATATGAATTCTTAGAGGAACATACACCATGCTGATATATATGTTAATGTTTTTACTGTATTTAGCTGTTTATTTCAATTCTGTTCTAGCACTCCACCCCTACCCCCAGTTTGGGATCTTATGGGAAGAACTATTGAAGGACAGTGTAGTAGTCAATCTGCCTTTAACAGCTTGAACAACTTTTAAACATTTTTCCCATAAGCCCTACAAACTAATTATAATCTAAATGACTGGAGCACTCCAGGGCTGAAGTGAATGCTTTTGGATGCAGGGGTGGCATATTTTTGAGCTTTCTCAAACTTAACTTATTTACCTATGTAACTATCTATCTTGTTTACTGTATTTTAGGAAAACCAGATACTGGTGAACTTTAAAAATATCTACAGACGCCAAGAATTTACAAAGTCAGGGATACCCTGAGATTAAGAGTCTCATACTCTACCAACTGAGCAAGCCGGGTGGCCGGGACGAACAAGCAACCCCCTCCTTGCAACAAGATTTGAACTCTGAAAATATAAACTGAAATCCTAGCCATTTCTGACAGGAAGATTGTTGGTTAATATTTACTGTCTTGGCCCTCTTTTCTTGAGATTTGGGATAATACTAGTTTACTTAACAATGCAATAAGATAATAGAATAAATTCTTAGTGTATTACAGTTCTTCAGTGGATGTTGGCTAACTATGAGTCTTTAGAAGATACTGTAAAACATAGGTCACATCTGCTTTGAATATTCTTCACATTGGTGCTATAACAACTCACACAACATTGATTTTCCTGATTCATTAAAACATCTATGATAAAAGGAAAACTATTAGTGCTTATTCACTCATACACAGTCACAGACAGGTATCAAGACAAGAGAAGATAGGATTCTGTCTAGCAGTTAACAGCCAAACTTTCTCAAAATCATCATGTGAGTAAATGCATCATATTAGCAACAAGGTTGAGAAAGTAAAGACTGCCCGAGTTTCTGAGAAGTCAGGGAAGAGTTCATACAGAAGTAGGAACACAGACCTTTCTACAAAGGCTAAAGTATACTATGTGAAGAAACTCAACTAGGAGTCTAAATATTTTGAAGCTTCATCCATAATAAGGGTTTTTAATTTGACACTACACATGAAACATAAACGCATTTGGAAAAAAAAAAGAAAAGTAATATTAACCTTACCATAGAGTAATTTGGCCAAGGCATCATAGAATAATTGGGCCATGTGAACAGCAACGGAGTCTGAACCAAAACATTGAGAAGGGAGGTCAAAGATTAAAATTTGGGGATTGGAAGTAATAAATGAAAACGCAGAAGGTAAAACTATCTTGAGATGACATTTCAAAATGGAAATGCCTTCCTGGTTAGCCAGCACAAAGACAAAGTCTGCAAGTGACAGGAGCCAGTGTGTGACACTAATCAGCAGAGACACCAGTGAAGCTTTGAGACACAAACAATTCCCTGGGCTACAGTATAAAAACAGCCCTGAACTCTAGCTGTGCATTGGAATTACTGACAGAGCTTTAAACACTTGCTCCTGCTCCAGGCCTAACCCCAGAGGTTGTGATCATGACTGGGACTGAGCATAGCTGGAGCAGAGAAAGAACAGAGGGTAAAAAAGGAGCCTCAG